CCTAACGTAATACACACACAATAACACTGTACAGTAACACTGCGTTAGTGTCATGAATATTCACTGACTCACATTTCGACTATCTAACGTCCTGCATAGCCAAACATTTCTCAACTTAATAACCATCCTTAAAAAGGATATATTAAGTCCTACGTAGGAGATACTAAGTCCCCTACGTAGGAGAGATATCCTAAGTCCTACGTAGGAGATAGTAACTTCTACGTAGGAGATACTAAGTCCTACGTAGGTGATAGTAAGTCCTACGAAGTCCTACGTAGGAGATACTAAGTCCTACGTAGGAGATACTAAGTCCTACGAAGTCCTACGTAGGAGATACTAAGTCCTACGTAGGAGATATTAAGTCTTACGTAGGAGATAGTGACCCCCCCCTCCCAATTTTTTCACCGTGGCCCTACTACGCTTCCGTAGATATCCACAAGAGCAACATGCACTGTCTATTAAATGTCTGTTATACTTATCGGCGTTTGGGTCGCTAGGTCCGAGCCTGAGGCAGCAATGAAAGATTTGACAAAAACAAGAGCCATAATTAAGATCAATATAAATCTTGTTTTCGGTTTTTGTAATTAGGTTTTAAAATTCTTTGAGACTGCATGACTATAGCTTGTAGTTTCGGAGACGGAGTAAATCTGAGTAGGTAAATTACTTTGTCTTTGATCACGAAGTTACCTACACAAAGTGTTTAATTATTAAAGACATTTACCTGAGTATGTTAATCAATTTATCTTATAAAGTTTCATTAAGTTACCTCCACAAGATTCAGTTACATAGCAAATCAGTAAGTAGCTAGGGTGAATCCATTCTATCAGACTGGGGAGTATGGTGTGTTTTCGTTGTTAATTACCTACTACAGTGTCTCATAACTGGGAGTCTCACAACTGGGAGTTCTCACAAATGGGAGTAGACCTGTGACAGAGACCGAACTCGGGCCATAAATCAATGCATTTTGTTTATGGTGTATAGCCTGATTGGTGTTAAGTTCAATTTGCATGTGGTCAGTGATCGAAGTTGTGTATCGAATATTGTCGTTAGCAGACAGGCAGGCAGGCACACAGGTGTCAATAAAACAAGACATTGAGTTTTGTCTGTGACAACGACATATCTATATCACAGTTAGAAATTCTGTCAACGCTAAATAATTGCTTTTAAGTATCGAACTGAGAAAGTGACTCGGTAAGAAGAACGTGTGGTGAAATATATAAACAGTTAAATCGGTAATCTACTGTCATAACATATAAAAACCTCGCGCCTGTGAAATATCAACAAAACATTAGAAAAATAGCTCACACCAAAGCCTTCACCGAATATTCACCGGACAACCCGCTTCCAAGCTCCGCGAACCTATTTCACTGCGCATGTGCTATGAGCGCAGCCCAGCTGTTGAAACCATTTCAATTCCCCCAAGCGCTGGGGGAAAGTTAGTGAATCGTTTGAACTACGATTTCGCGCGGTTTTTTTCATCGCGTTATTTTATAAGTTGAATTTGCATTTTTGATGATTTCAAAAGTCCATACCGAAAGGTATCAGAATCTGCAAAGTTGTGTTTTACGTTGCATGTGACCTTTAATGAAACACTGATCATAATCAAAACGTCAGACCAACTCTGTGGGGTTACTGCAGAATTTATGTCCTAAAAATAAAAAAGTTGTTGAGCAAACTATTAAAATCTTGACACGGTTCACTATTTGTTACGAGGGAGGGGCGCAAAGAGTGGAACAGCCAGGTATGCGAGAAAGATGGACACGGCACAGTACAGGATAATGAATCAATAACTTCGTCGGCAATTGTGCACGTGCTTCTCTAACACCTGGCTGTCCCTTTCTCTGCACTCCTCCCTCGTAACAAATGGTGAACTGTGCCAATATTTTAATGATAGTTTGTTAAACAACTTTTTAAATTTTAGGACATAAATTCTGCAAACAAATCACAGAGTTGGTCTGATGTTTAGATTAAGATCAGCGTTTCATTGAGTATTATTTGTTTATTAGTTTTCGAGTTAGATTGCAATTCATCGGTCTGCTTTTGAGCCAAACGCACTATACATTGGTAGTGCAATTTGATGCCAAAATGATTCCGCCTGGCATTGATGGAGGAACATCACGCGTGCATCTGATCTCTCTCCGGGCTGCGGTATCAGTCTTCTCACCATTAATTTTGATAATGATTAATTACAATGGAGTTTTCTATGCAATTTGTGGCAAACATGAACATGACTAAAGGATACTATATGAACATATTAACTCTGTCCACAGACGCCCATTTTTAAAATTCAAACAATTTCATTGATGTTTATATTTATGTAAGGAGGCAATATTATTTCTATCCACCTCCCGATAACCCCACCCCCAATCTTAAATAGTAATATTTCAAATAGTTTCATGTTGTCAAATCAAGAGGATTTAGCATGAACTGTGTATTTTTGTTATATGCTCAATATTCTGTCCAGCTGCAACCAGCTCATCATTCGATTCAGTCGACATCTTGCACACGAATGATCTTGACTATTCTAAACTCAGTGCTCAGAACTGAGTTGTATTTCTGTGATTTGTTTTTGTTTTCGTTTCCTTTTAAAATGTTGAATTTCGTTTAGTTATAGAAATGTAAACAACCCAAAAATATTATCCCATAATTACAACATTTGTTTTCTTTCAAAATGGAAATTACATGATGATAAGAACTCCCCAAATGTATATCTTATTCCGGTATTAGCAAATTGCTAGGAGTATCCCAACGATGTTTAAAACTACGTCTGAGCGCCAGAACACGCCCGCGGTGTTGACGCACTGCTGTCACTGCATGATTTGCACGTGAAATTGCTGACGTCTGTCGTAGTGAAATTGGCATAACCCTGGCTGCTTCTGCTTTCATGCATATATTCAAATTAAATGTATTTCAAACTTGCAAATAAGTAAAAGTAATTAAATTGATTTTAGAAAAGTCTAGTCAGTCGTTAACCGCGATGTGTAAGTCAAATAGCAAGTCATCCCGCGGTTAATATGTAAGAGAACAGCCTCGCTCCGCTCGGGTCATTCTACATATTAACCGCGGGATGAGTTGCTATTTACTACATAAAACTTTGTAAAGGCGACAGAAAATAGTTTTGTTTTGTGTATACAGAACATAAATGCGGACATGATGGAATATCTGTCTTGCGATACAACATCACGGGAGCCTGCATCCTGGACAGAAACGTCCCTGTGAAGTCATCTGAGTAAAGTTCAATATGTACACATGAACATGTATTTACAAGTTAGCACCACCTGAATCGAAGGGCAATATCTTAAATCGTGGCCCAAGCAGGCCATTATACCCCAGCAGACTGGAATGTACATGGACGACAAACGTACTGCTGACAATATCAGACGAGCTGCCCGCAGCCTCCCTGATTGCGCTGTTGGAGGGTTGGCCTGCCACTCACCGCCGGCCCAGTTATCCACGAATGTTCAGGGACTGGAGTGAGTGAGTGAGTATTGTTTTACGTCGCTTTTAGCAATGTTCCAGCAACATCATGGTTGGGGGGCACCAGAAATGGGCTTCACACACTGAACCCATGTGGAGAATCGAACCTGGGCCTTCGGCGTGACGAGCGGACGCTTAAACCACTAGGCTACCCCACGGCCCCCTCAAAGGATTGGAATTAGGACTCGGTCAGTACGGCCATTGTCTTCCGGGTCCTGGACGCTCCTGTATTTCCCCGATGGCCACGTTCTTCTTCACGGTGTGTGTAATGCTCAGTTAGCACCGACGTTGTGCAGGACATAGTGTAGCCAGGCACGCCAGTTTCTGGAAGCCTCTGTTTGAAGAACACTCAATTCTAGTACTGTCGTGATGTATCAGTTCCGACAGTTGACAATATTGCGTATCCAGCTATATAATGCGTATCCAGCTATGAAATGCGTACCCCCAATGTTGACAATAGTGCGTATCCAGCTATGAAAAGCGTACCCCGGATGTTGACAATAGTGCGTATCCAACTATGAAATGCGTACCCCCAATGTTGACAATAGTGCGTATTCAGCTATGAAATGCGTACCCCTAATGTTGACAATAGTGCGTATCCAGCTATGGAATGCGTATCCCCAATGTTGACAATAGTGCGTATCCAGCTATGGAATGCGTACCCCAATGCAATAGTGCGTATCCAGCCATGAAAAGCGTACCCCGATGTTGACAATAGTGCGTATCCAGCTATGGAATGCGTACCCCCAATGTTGACAATAGTGCGTATCCAACTATGAAATGCGTACCCCCAATGTTGACAATAGTGCGTATCCAGCTATGAAATGAGTATCCCAATGTTGACAATAATGGGTATCCAGCTATGGAATGCGTACCCCCAATGTTGACAATAGTGCGTATCCAGCTATGGAATGCGTACCCCCAATGTTGACAATAGTGCGTATCCAGCTTTGGAATGTGTACCCCCAATGTTGACAATAGTGCGTATCCAGCTATGGAATGTGTACCCCCAATGTTGACAATAGTGCGTATCCAGCTATGGAATGCGTACCCCCAATGTTGACAATAGTGCGTATCCAGCTATGGAATGTGTACCCCCAATGTTGACGCCTTCATGAACATGCGACCCACCATACTGTGTGTGCTTCTTCTTTGTATTCCAATATGCTGGAGTATACTCACCATTTGCACCACAAATTTAATACTTGCCCTTGGATTCAGGTGTTGCTTCATTAAAGGTAATGTGTATAAGTCAAAAGTCAGACTGACCCACGCCTGTATTGATTCTGTCTATTTGTATGAACAACCTGTGAAATAGCTGGACATAAAATACATTGTGTAAGGTTTCGTTCAATCAGAAAGCAATGAAATAAGATAATGGTGACTGGTTCATAGTCTGACATTGTGCCACTAGCTGGTGTGTATTGATTAACGATGGATCGATGAAACTGGATTCCTTAGTATTCAACATACTGAGACACTGGGCGTAACTGAACTTTCAGTTCCTTATTCAGACCTGCATCCCCCTATGTAGGGCAGATACACCGTCAGTGCTATACGACAAACTTCAACAGGTAAGACGATATATGGCTTAAGTACTACATTATCTATACAGGGAAAGGCGACTGCCCTCGACATAATAACTCGTTATAACCAATTGTTGTGAGGTGTTACACAGCATGCTATGTAATTGTTACAATGTCAAGTATTTAAATTGTGTTTGAAGTGTAATTTTCTGTGAAAGTTTAAAGTTGTCCAAACATGCAACCAACTGTCAGATACCCTACAGGAGGCAAGTAATGTGTTTATGGTACAACAGACAACTGTTAACGAATATAGTTGTAGTGAGTGTAATATCAGCGAGAAGTTCATTTAAATGGGGGGCGGTGGGGTAGCCTAGTGGTTAAAGCGTTGGCTCGTCACGCCGAAGACCCGGGTTCGAATCCCCACATGGGTACAATGTGTGAAGCCCATTTCTGGTGTCCGCCGCCGTGATGGAATATTGCTAAAAGCGGCGTAAAACCAAACTCAGTCAGTCAGTCATTTAAATGGAGGAACGTAATTGCACCACTTCATATAGAGCAGGTGTTGCTGGCATGTATTAAATTGAACCATTGTTGTGTTTGTATACCTACATTCAAATTCCATGACAAATGTGCATCGGTTATGGTAGGCTTATTGGGTCTGTATTGACTAAATATTTACTTGAGAAATTTATTCACCATTTGTTATGATACTCCGACACTTCTGATATAAACAACGATAAAGCTAGCGTTAGTGAGGAAAAACACCAAACACTGCTGATATAAACAACGATAAAGCCAGCGTTAGTGAGGAAAACACCAAACACTGCTGATATAAACAACGATAAAGCTAGCGTTAGTGAGGAAAACACCAAACACTGCTGATATAAACAACGATAAAGCCAGCGTTAGTGAGGAGAAACACCAAACACTGCTGATATAAACAACGATAAAGCTAGCGTTAGTGAGGAAAAACACCAAACACTGCTGATATAAACAACGATAAAGCCAGCGTTAGTGAGGAAAAACACCAAACACTGCTGATATAAACAATGACAAAGCCAGCGTTAGTGAGGAAAACACCAAACACTGCTGATATAAACAACGATAAAGCCAGCGTTAGTGAGGAAAAACACCAAACACTGCTGATATAAACAATGATAAAGCTAGCGTTAGTGAGGAAAACACCAAACACTGCTGATATAAACAACGATAAAGCTAGCGTTAGTGAGGAAAACACCAAACACTGCTGATATAAACAATGATAAAGTCAGCGTTAGTGAGGAAAACACCAAACACTGCTGATATAAACAACGATAAAGCCAGCGTTAGTGAGGAAAACACCAAACACTGCTGATATAAACAATGATAAAGTCAGCGTTAGTGAGGGAAAACACCAAACACTGCTGATATAAACAACGATAAAGCCAGCGTTAGTGAGGAAAACACCAAACACTGCTGATATAAACAACGATAAAGCTAGCGTTAGTGAGGAAAAACACCAAACACTGCTGATATAAACAACGATAAAGCTAGCGTTAGTGAGGAAAACACCAAACACTGCTGATATAAACAACGATAAAGCTAGCGTTAGTGAGGAAAACACCAAACACTGCTGATATAAACAACGATAAAGCTAGCGTTAGTGAGGAAAACACCAAACACTGCTGATATAAACAACGATAAAGCCAGCGTTAGTGAGGAAAAACACCAAACACTGCTGATATAAACAACGATAAAGCTAGCGTTAGTGAGGAAAACACCAAACACTTCTGATATAAACAACGATAAAGCTAGCGTTAGTGAGGAAAACACCAAACACTGCTGATATAAACAACGATAAAGCCAGCGTTAGTGAGGAAAACACCAAACACTGCTGATATAAACATCGATAAAGCCAGCGTTAGTGAGGAAAACACCAAACACTTCTGATATAAACAATGATAAAGCCAGCGTTAGTGAGGAAAACACCAAACACTGCTGATATAAACAACGATAAAGCTAGCGTTAGTGAGGAAAACACCAAACACTGCTGATATAAACAACGATAAAGCTAGGATTAGTGAGGAGAAAACACCAAACACTTCTGATATAAACAATGATAAAGCTAGCGTTAGTGAGGAAAACACCAAACACTTCTGATATCAACAATGATAAAGCTAGCGTTAGTGAGGAAGACAACAAGCACTGCTGATATAAACAACGATAAAGCTAGCGTTAGTGAGGAAAAACACCAAACACTGCTGATATAAACAACGATAAAGCCAGCGTTAGTGAGGAAAACACCAAACACTGCTGATATAAACAATGATAAAGCTAGCGTTAGTGAGGAAGACACCAAACACTTCTGATATCAACAACGATAAAGCCAGCGTTAGTTAGGAAAACACCAAACACTTCTGATATCAACAATGAGAAAGCTAGCGTTAGTTAGGAAAGACACCAAACACTGCTGATATAAACAATGATAAAGCCAGCGTTAGTGAGGAAAAACATCAAACACTGCTGATATAAACAACGATAAAGCTAGCGTTAGTGAGGAAAAACACCAAACACTGCTGATATAAACAACGATAAAGCCAGAGTTAGTGAGGAAAAACACCAAACACTTCTGATATCAACAACGATAAAGCCAGCGTTAGTGAGGAAAACACCAAACACTGCTGATATAAACAACGGAAAAGCCAGCGTTAGTGAGGAAAACACCAAACACTTCTCATATCAACGACGATAAAGCTAGCGTTAGTGAGGAAGACACCAAACACTGCTGATATAAACAATGAGAAAGCTAGCGTTAGTTAGGAAAGACACCAAACACTGCTGATATAAACAATGATAAAGCCAGCGTTAGTGAGGAAAAACATCAAACACTGCTGATATAAACAACGATAAAGCTAGCGTTAGTGAGGAAAAACACCAAACACTGCTGATATAAACAACGATAAAGCCAGTGTTAGTGAGGAAAAACACCAAACACTTCTGATATCAACAACGATAAAGCCAGCGTTAGTGAGGAAAACACCAAACACTGCTGATATAAACAATGATAAAGCCAGCGTTAGTGAGGAAGACACCAAACACTGCTGATATAAACAACGATAAAGCTAGCGTTAGTGAGGAAGACACCAAACACTGCTGATATAAACAATGATAAAGCTAGCGTTAGTGAGGAAAACACCAAACACTTCTGATATAAACAACGATAAAGCCAGCGTTAGTTAGGAAAACACCAAACACTGCTGATATAAACAACGATAAAGCCAGCGTTAGTGAGGAAAACACCAAACACTGCTGATATAAACAACGATAAAGCTAGCGTTAGTTAGGAAAACACCAAACACTGCTGATATAAACAATGATAAAGCCAGCGTTAGTGAGGAAAACACCAAACACTGCTGATATAAACAACGATAAAGCCAGCGTTAGTGAGGAAAACACCAAACACTGCTGATATAAACAACGATAAAGCCAGCGTTAGTGAGGAAAAACACCAAACACTGCTGATATAAACAACGATAAAGCCAGCGTTAGTGAGGAAAACACCAAACACTGCTGATATAAACAACGATAAAGCCAGCGTTAGTGAGGAAAACACCAAACACTGCTGATATAAACAACGATAAAGCCAGCGTTAGTGAGGAAAACACCAAACACTGCTGATATAAACAATGATAAAGCCAGCGTTAGTTAGGGAAAACACCAAACACTTATATAAACAACGATAAAGCCAGCGTTAGTTAGGAAAACACCAAACACTGCTGATATAAACAACGATAAAGCCAGCGTTAGTTAGGAAAACACCAAACACTGCTGATATAAACAACGATAAAGCTAGCGTTAGTTAGGAAAAACACCAAACACTGCTGATATAAACAACGATAAAGCCAGCGTTAGTGAGGAAAACACCAAACACTGCTGATATAAACAACGATAAAGCTAGCGTTAGTGAGGAAAACACCAAACACTGCTGATATAAACAACGATAAAGCCAGCGTTAGTTAGGAAAACACCAAACACTGCTGATATAAACAACGATAAAGCCAGCGTTAGTTAGGAAAACACCAAACACTGCTGATATAAACAACGATAAAGCTTGCGTTAGTTAGGAAAACACCAAACACTGCTGATATAAACAACGATAAAGCCAGCGTTAGTTAGGAAAACACCAAACACTGCTGATATAAACAACGATAAAGCCAGCGTTATAAACAACGATTAGGAAAAAACACCAAACACTGCTGATATAAACAACGATAAAGCCAGCGTTAGTGAGGAAAACACCAAACACTGCTGATATAAACAACGATAAAGCTAGCGTTAGTGAGGAAAACACCAAACACTGCTGATATAAACAACGATAAAGCTAGCGTTAGTGAGGAAAAACACCAAACACTGCTGATATAAACAACGATAAAGCTAGCGTTAGTGAGGAAAACACCAAAACTGCTGATATAAACAATGATAAAGCTGGCGTTAGTGAGCACCAAACACTGCTGATATAAACAATGATGAGGAAAAACACCAAACACTGCTGATATAAACAATGATAAAGCTAGCGTTAGTGAGGAAAAACACCAAACACTGCTGATATAAACAATGATAAAGCCAGCGTTAGTGAGGAAAAACACCAAACACTGCTGATATAAACAACGACAAAGCCAGCGTTAGTGAGGGAAAACACCAAACACTGCTGATATCAACAACGACAAAGCTAACGTTAGTGAGGAAAAACACCAAACACTGCTGATACTGAAACTAATAACTGTACAGAATCCCCCCAAACACTTATCTCCTGCTACTAGAAATAATACCAGTCTTATTGAATTTGAATTTGTGGGTTTGAATTGGTCAAGCTTGCTGAATTGGTGGAAGTACGTTGACGTAAATCATTTTGTTAATCATTTGATTGTTTGGTCTATATCCGATTACTTACAGACCGCCGACGTATAGCAGTAGTATTTGGTAGTGCGGCTTTAAATTACTAACAACCCAATACTAACTGTAATAACAACACATATACTACTATACCCACTATCACGTCACGCCGACGACCCGGGTTCGATTCCCCACATGGGTACAATGTGTGAAACTCATTTCTGGTGTCCCCACCGTGATATTGCTGGAATATTTCTAAAAGCGGCTTAAAACTAAATCCACTCACTCACTCACTAACATTATCACTAATACCACTTACACCATTACTATATCATACGTGTTATACTATACATACTAAAATAGCTGTGTATATTCTTCACTTATCATCCTTTGTATGAACGTCAAGTTTGCAGCCCCCGTGCTCATATACCTCAGTCTGTCGGTGTACGTATTTCCCGTTAAGTTGCTATGTCCTGTTAACATTCTATGGTTATCATGTGTTCAGCGTTGAGCCTACGTACTGGCCGTGAGGTGGGTTGTTCATAGGTTATTGTAGGTAAGATACCACCGTAATTATATATAAGCGTTTAGGTTATGTTGGGTATACGAGTATTCTCAAGTGGGTACTTCCTGTATACATACCTGGGTAATTCATTTTAGAATGTGCATGTACCCATCTCAGCCGTGTGTTTGTTTCAGCAATGATTCGTGTTTGGATGTTGACGTGGCCTGTCACGCCTCGGGAGCAGTCACTGCAGGATGAGGAGAAACGGTCTATAGCGCTGGAACTGAAGGCAAAGAGATCCAAATCATTTCACGCACTGAAAGCATATTTTTCAAATTTAGGTTCTACTTTCAAACATCCGAAAAATTCTGAACATGACGAAGCAGATGAAATGATTGAAACCGAAGCGGATGAAGAGATCGAAGAAGAACCCGCGGAAGTCAAGCGAGAAGTTCCTGTCACAAATGTTGATGTCAATAAAATAATAGAAGAGTTCCAGACAGAGAAGGGTTAGTACTGTGAAGTCATGGCGTGTTGGTGGCCAGACAGAGAAGGGTTAGTACTGTCAAGTCACAGCGTGTTGGTGGCAAGACAGAAAGGGGTTAGTACTGTCAAGTCATGGCGCGTCGGTGGCCAGGCAGAGAATGGTTAGTACTGTCAAGTCATCGCGCGTCGGTGGCCAGGCAGAGAAGGGTTAGTACTGTCAAGTCATGGCGCGTCGGTGGCCAGGCAGAGAAGGGTTAGTACTGTCAAGTCACAGCGCGTTGGTGGCCAGACAGAGAAGGGTTAGTACTGTCAAGTCACAGCGCATTGGTGGCCAGACAGCCTCAAGCGACTTTTGCCTAAGTGGTATCAGGACACACAACTATTCTGTTTGATCCATGGTTTGACAGAATCATCCCCACTCGTTGACCTTGTTACAGATACAGGATCAGACCTTTGTCCCTTGAGAACCTCTGATACCTGTGATCCGTGTTTCCGGTTCGCCTGATCATGTTGCTAGATTATCGGCGCCCTACCTGTGCAGGTGTCTCACGAACTGGGGAAGCCTCTATCACCACCCACACGTTCCTCCAATCGTCATAGCAACTACACATGTCATATCATAGACGAACGTAGTAGTAGCGGCGCGTGTGGTCTGTGATGACAGTGGCAGTTAATACATGTAGGTGTTATTTGATTTGTCATCACCCGATCATCATTGCTCGTGTCTGCTATATCTTCAGATTTGATGTTTCAGCAGTGACTGTGGAGAAGGTCGACATTATAGAGAGTGTCGAAGTGGTAGAGGTAGAGCCAGTGCCTGAGGTGGAACCCACCATAGATATACAACTGGAAGAAGTAGAGACGCCAAAGGAAGAGCCAGTCCAGGAGGCAGAAGAGGAAGAACCGGCCCAGATAGAAGAAGAGAATGTAGAGACTATAGATGTGTTTGCCATGATTAAAGGGTTTGAGCACATCAAGAAAGATCCTAATGCAAAGAAAGTGCCGAAAGAGTTCCGGAAGAGGACAACAGTGACTCTGACGAAACAATGACAACACGTGAACTACAACTCATTATGTCGACAAGTTACATACCTATCTACCAACCTACAAATGGGCGCTCGCTGACTTGTTGATACATTTCTTCCTATCCCAGATGGGTAGATTATAATTTATGTAACTGACTGGACTGTCTGCTCCATCCATGTACAGGCCGCCGTCACATTGTTGGGATGCTGTTCAGTGCCTCGTCACACAAACATCACAGAGATATATAGTGTTAGTACTGGAATGAAAGAACATCCAATATGGGTGAATCTGTTTCCCCGATGAGATGAAATATACACACGTACTCTCTCCTTCTGTATCGTGTGCAAGAAATGCGAATATTTCATGTCCAGGTGCGTGTAAGGTATGGATAAAAACACGGGTGTCCCAGGAAATACACTTCTTCTAATGCATTTATTTAATTGCGATAAGAGTTGAAATTTCCACTTTCGTTCAAAGTTTACTAAGGTTAGAAACATGGAAAACATACGTAAAGTTCAAAGAGTCAAATGTTTACACAACTTAGACATTTATGTATCATATGTTTCCATCATGTGAAATACCTGCTTCATGTAGTTTCAGTTTTACACATTTAATTCGTTTAAAATCACCTTTTATGTGACTTCATCAATATTATCACCTAAAGAGGGTGGCAGTGACAGCAGCAGTATGCAGACTAACACATTATATTCAGTTGCGCTGGCTCTTGCTATAGTCCTTTTAGCTCAAAAGCGGACCGATGAAAACTAATGCACATAAAATACTCAATGAAACACTGATCATAATCAAAACGTCAGACCAACTCTGTGAGGTTTTTACAGAATTTATGTCCTAAAAATTAAATGTAAAAAGTTGTTTAACAAACTATCATTCAAATATTGACACAGTTTTCTATTTGTTACGAGGGAGGAATGCAGAGAAAGGGACAGCCCGGTGTGCGAGAAAGGATGGAGACGGCACAGCACAGGTTAATGAGTCAATAACTTTGTCGGCACTTGTGCACGTGCTTCTCTAACACCCAGCTGTCCCTTTCTCCCTCGTTACAAATAGTGAACTGTGTCAAAAAAATTTTGATAGTTTGTTAAACAACTTTTTACATTTTAGGACATAAATTCTGCAAAGAAATCACAGAGTTGCTCTGATGTTTTGATTATGATCAGTGTTTCATTGAGCATTTTATGTTTTTTATTTTTCGAGTTAGATTACAATTCATCCGTCCGCTTTTGAGCCAAACGGACAATACCGGTATCAGTTACGCCTTGTCTGTGGTGTTGGCGAATATATGGTGAGGTGCTAGTGTCGCGGGATGGAAACGTTCAGCGGTGAGCAAAGGGGGATGCGTTGCCCCTTTGTCCTTGCTAATGTCCTATCTATCCTCGCTAATGTCCTATCTATCCTCGCTAATGTCCTATCTGTCCTCGCTAATGTCCTATCTGTCCTCGCTAATGTCCTATCTATCCTCGCTAATGTGCTATCTGTCCTCGCTATTGTCCTATCTGTCCTCGCTGCCCCAAACAATGTCCTATCTGTGATCGCTAATGTCTTATCTGTCCTCGCTAATGTCCTATCTATCCTCGCTAATGTGCTATCTGTCCACGCTAATGTCCTATCTGTCGTTGCTGCCCCAAACAATGTCCTATCAAATGATAGATGCTTAACCAAACACAACACTTCACATTTGGAAATGACTTATACTGAAAATGGGGACCACACGGTAGTCAACATGGCTGAATACCATAATGGCCAGGTGGATGACGCATCGCCAACTGTGGTGAGCCTCGTGGGGTGAATGCAAAACGTTCTTTCGTGAAAACACGTGTGCAGATCACGTGACCACAATTTCCTGAAAATAACCACCAACACGTGTGCAAAATATACTAGTGGTAAGACAGAAACACGTCTTTGAGACAATTCTCATGTCACGTGACACGCCTAGCAATGTTCAATGTGGTTTGTGTAATTGGCATGCCCCAGGCTTGCCAGTCTACTGTTGCTGTTGCCCGAGCCATGAGACAATTCACAGCCCGAGGACACATGGGCATCAAACAGGTACGATAGCTGACCGTCCCAGATCAGGACATTACAAGCGACATCGAGAACAATCAACCTCGGCTGCGTCACTATCGCAGCGACAACCAGTGTTTTGGGGTCGCGTGACTGCCCAGACCACACGAACACTACTTGCGCGCTGCCCATTCTAACACATGTAAACCGTAATGAACATCTACCCTCGGCACAAATGCTCCTGTGCTGGAACCAGAGACAAAGGAAGAGGGTTGAGTCACGTTTAACGCTGCGTTTTGCCGACGGAAGTGTGCGTACAGGAAGATGATCCATATCGTGGCGGATCCATATCGTGGCGGATCCATATCGTGGCGGATCCATATCGTGGCGGATCCATATCGTGGTTTGGGTTGCCTTTACCGGGCACGTGCTTTCGCGTATTCCCTTAATTCGTGGAAGCTCAATGCAGCGTGATGTCATGACCTGTCGATGTCCCGGAACTGGTGCTGTTCATGGCCCAGGCCTCCAAGTCCAACATGACAATGGGACACCACACACCCCTGTTTTGACACAAAATAGCCTGCAAACGTCCTGATGATGGACGTCAGTCCCACGTGATGAATGCCCTTGGGAGAAGCCTTGAGAGGTCAGTCCCAGACTGTGAGAGCTGAGCGTCATGTTGGTACAGCAACTGCCCAGATTGCCGACTGCTGTGTTGACGAGTGTAAGACAGTCAGGTGTCAGACAACGTTGCCTCGCTGCTGTGAATGCGATAGTGGGGTATACGCTGTACTGAACAACCTCCAGTACATTATTGCTAGTCCGTGTTGCATGAAAACAGTGACCTAACGCAGGGTGCATCTTAATGCCTAATTCTGTTTTAGTGTATGCTCATTACGTCCATAAAACTGATGTATCCACTTGCAACACACTTTGTTATAAATGGGTATGTTTGCAATAAAGTTAAGTTTCCATTTGCGCTTAGTATATTCTTTGAGACATGAAATGAAAGAATAGTTTTTATGCAATGTAGCGATTATGCCCGGATGGCAATTCCGGGTGCATGGCGGCATGCGTCCTCGGGGTATACCACGGGGCCATCTGGAACCTAGCCTGGATTGTCCATCACGCTGTTTAAATTGACGATCAACGGACGATCCACGAACACAAGGTCATGGTCGCACAAGCAAATGCGATGCTGCGTCGCTGTCATTTTCCCCGTCGGAGATGTCCTCAACACTCTTTGTATTCCGTTGTTTGGAGCAGTCTTGCAGACCCTTGTCTAACATAAACGCAGTGGACGTCGACCAAGATATCAACGACCTCGTATGTGCAAGTTCAAATCGGGCATGTGCCGCAAATATTTATTCCGATCTGAATGCAAGTACAGCGAGTGTTTCTACAACATTGGAGATAATTGTATCTCTGACATTCCTTCAAAACCTGGTAACTTTTTGCGGTGAACATTTCATGCTCTACCAACATTGGGAAGGGTTGCAATATATGGAAGAATTATTTCTGTATTGCTGTGAGAGCGACGTGTCGCTGTAGGTTCTAACACCGTTATCAAGCAAGTGATGAACAACTTCTGTATTGCTGTGACAGCGACGTGTCGCTGTAGGTTCTAACACCGTTATCAAGCAAGTGATGAACAACTTCTGTATTGCTGTGAGAGCGACGTGTCGCTGTAGGTTCTAACACCGTTATCAAGCAAGTGATGAACAACTTCTGTATTGCTGTGACAGCGACGTGTCGCTGTAGGTTCTAATACCGTTATCAAGCAAGTGATGAACAACTTCTGTATTGCTGTGACAGCGACGTGTCGCTGTAGGTTCTAACACCGTTATCAAGCAAGTGATGAACAACTTCTGTATTGCTGTGACAGCGACGTGTCGCTGTAGGTTCTAATACCGTTATCAAGCAAGTGATGAACAACTTCTGTATTGCTGTGACAGCGACGTGTCGCTGTAGGTCAACTTCTGTATTTGCTGTGAGGAGCTGTCGCTGTAGGTTCTAATACCGTTATCAAGCAAGTGATGAACAACTTCTGTATTGCTGTGACAGCGACGTGTCGCTGTAGGTTCTAATACCGTTATCAAGCAAGTGATGAACAGCATGAGGATAGAGAAGCATATATACAAGTTAGAAAAGATGTTTGTGCAGTACAATAGAGGATTAGGAAGCCAGACACAATAACAACACATGACCTGATCAAAGCGTTAACAAGTGAAGTTTGCAGTAAATACAACGAGATAGTGAAGCCTTTAGTGTACATAAAGGGGGATTATCGATGATGAGAGTCTCTGATGAGCTGGTAGATAGATAGATAGATAGATAGATAGATAGATTGGCTTTATTTCCTCCAGATATGAAGATTACAAGCATTTAAACATCACATGATATTTACAGACAAGTGAATATATGAATGCATCAGAACGTTAATGAAACAGGAAATTACATTTACTGACAAAATCAGCCACAATTAACATTATTTGGCACCAGGTATCAAAGTGAATCTCTTCTGTACAGTCTGGGAATCCACCAAGGAAGAATGAGATGATGGAGTCGTCATCTTTTGACCAGAAGTCAGCAAAGCATTTGACATCCATCAGGTCAAATACTTTTTCAAACAGTTCGTCTCTCTCCGACATATTCTTGGATCATGATATGAAAACATGGTTCACAAGGTCATAAACACCTGTACCACATGTACATTCTCTCGATTCTAGTGGTCTACATGCAATCTGGACAATTTTAGATATAGCATTAAATTTCAGGGGAAGTCTCTTGCACAGTAGCCAGAGTCTATTAGTGTTCTCATGTCGAATAGTCATGTATCTGGACAGATCTAATCTGCTGGCTATTCCGTGCATTCGAGGCTTCTAACTCTATCTGTGGGTTAGTTATCATCAACACGAAAACTCGCTGCAGAGTTATGGTTAAAGAGTAAACATACCAAACTCCCGTGGCTGGCGGGACCAACACCGTCATGAACATCTTTATCTGGCAACTTTTAATTCGCAAGTGTTGAGGCAACAGGCTTGTGAGGCTATACGTCCTGTAACATATGTATGGTGTCTATTATCTAAGTAAGTCTATCTATATATGGCTTTAAGTCACTGCTTGGAGAAGGCTCCTTAAAGAGTTTTTGGGGAATATATTTTTTCACATTCTAAATGCCTAGTTTATCCGAAAACACATGACAACCTATGCTTCAGTGTAACTGTGCTTAAGGCCTTATTGTTATAAGATTTCACAGACTGAAGTTGAGACACCTCCTTTTTTTGAGTGTGAAATATATTTGATAACAACCTTCCGTCGATACGGACTTTCATAACAAACACATCAACAACAACTTAAATTAAAGGCAAAA